CAAGGACCAGCAAGGGTCCAAAGTGGCTTGAGCAAATTGTTCCAGGAATGAGAGTATAAGAAAGGGAGTCTAGATTTTACTTTAAGATCTTTGGAAAGTGACAGGGAGTATTAAGCTGACAATACCCAATAGGTGTTTTTATTTTTAAAGTCATTCTGGCTACTAATTGGAGAGAGTGTGTAGGCAGCAAATAGACCAACGAGGAGGCTTTCTGGCTCCAAGCAAAAGATGATGGTGTCGCCGAAACCGGTTTGGCTCAATGGATAGAGCGTCGGCTTGGGGACTGAAAGGTCCCTGGTTCGATTCCGGTCAAGGGCATGTACCTTGGTTGCAGGCACATCCCCAGTAGGGGGTGTGCAAGAGGCAGCTGGTCGATGACTCTCTCTTTCATCGATGCTTCTAGCTCTCTATCTCTCTCCCTTCCTCTCTGTACAAAATCAATAAAATATATTAAAAAAAAGATGATGGTGTCTTCAGACATGGGCATTGGCTGTAGAGATGGAGAAGACACCTCTAAATTTTCCCATGGGATTCAGAATAAAATCCAAATTTTGAAAGTCAATTTTCAAGGCCCTGCCAGAGATAGCCCCCTTCTCATCCTTGACATTCTTCAAAATGGCAAACCAGTCCCCTCCCACCCTTGGTGTGGAAGGCTCTGCCCCCCAGGTTTCCTTCTCATCTCAAATGTCCTCTTCTCAAAAAGGCTTTCTCTGGTCACCCAATATCACCAGCCTCCAGCCCCACTCTCTCACATCATAATTCTCTCTGCATAAATATTTCCTCTTGGTGCATTGTCTGACACCCATTAGAAAGTAACCTTCAGGAAGACAGGGCCCTGCTTTGATTACCACTGCATCCCCAGCGACCAGCACAATGCCTGGCACACAGTATTTGCAGAATGGATGAATGTAACCATTTTGGGGTGGTTAGGGCTGGACGACATGGAAGGGCAAGGATTGTGGTAAAGGGGAGGCTCGAAAGACTCGGGAATTTATGTATCCAGGAAATGCATGGGAGCAGTTCAGGAAAACAGCTTTCCAGAAAGCAGCACACAGGCCAAGAGGCAGCTGCTGCGAAGAGAAGGGCGCAGGACAGTCCAAGGTTGCCGTTGTTTTGGGGAGCGGAGCTCGGAAGAGCTCTGAAGGTGGTTTATTCTTGGGAAGGCCGACGCAAGACAGACCCGGTGTCTGCCTTTACGGAAGCAAAGCAAGCCAAGCGCCCTCAGCAACCAGGCCCAGGGTGGGGGGACAGCAACTGGGTCTGAGACCTCGGTAGGCGAGGGAGATGCAGAACCCATCGCTTCGGGCCGCCCAGAGGCTGACGGGGAGGACCAGCGGGTAGGGGTAGAGTCGGTCAGAAGACGAAACGGAGACGCCTAACTCGGAGGACCCAGACAGGAGCATGAAAGGAGGAGGGGGCTGTTACCTGCAACATCCCGGTTGTCCATCTTGAGACTCATCCAATCCCACAATGCTCCAGCGCCACCTGAGGAGGCATTTTATAGTGCGCGCGGCCTAATGGGAGATGTAGTCCTCATTGGCCAGCCACGCCCTGCCACTGCGGGGACACCTGGGACCTTTCTCGCAAAAACGCAAACCTCGACCTCTCTGCAAGGTCTGATCTCAGTCCCGCAGACCAGAAGGCGTCGACTTTTTTCACTCTTTCCGGGAGTCGCAGCCACTACAAATTATAAACTACATGTTCCAGGATGCTTTGTGCGGCAGCTATCGCGAGGGGCGCGAAGAGTGCCGGGCCCCGCCCCGTAGGCTTGCTTCCGCCTCCCTGTGGTGACGGCTTGTTGTTGTGGAGGCCAAAATGGCGGCTCAGGCGGCGGCAGCGGCCCAGGCAGCCGCGGCCCAGGCGGCGCAGGCCGAAGCGGCCGAGTCATGGTACCTGGCACTTCTGGGCTTCGCCGAGCACTTCCGCACGTCCAGCCCGCCCAAGATCCGCCTGTGTGTGCACTGCCTGCAGGCTGTGTTCCCCTTCAAGCCGCCTCAGCGCATCGAGGCCCGCACGCACCTGCAGCTCGGCTCCGTGCTCTACCACCATACCAAGAACAGCGAACAGGCGCGCAGCCACCTGGAGAAAGCGGTGAGCGCGGGCCGAACCGAGGGAGGAGCGTGGGCTCCTTGTGGGGCCTGAACTGACGGGCCGCGACCAAGGCAGGAGAGGGCCGCCCGGACCGCTCCTCAGGGACCTGGGGTGCGACTTCCCGCATGGGACACAGGACCCCTCAGCCGCCACCCTCGCGGGGAACGTTATTTAACGTCTCTAGTGACAGACAGGGTCCAGGGCCCTGCTCTTCTGAGGAGCAACAGAGTCCCCAAATTCTTTAGGATTTCAGGAGTAGACATGTTGGCGCCTTTGGAGACGTTCCCGGATTGCCAGTGAGTCCTGCAGTTTCCAGCTTCTCCGGGCTCAGCCCTGAAGCATTAGCCTGAACGCGCCCTCCTGAAAGGGCTTGAGATAGTGGAGGGCCGAGGTGACAGTCCGGGCCTCCCTTGGGAATCTGATGTTTGTTCTCTCGGAAAACCTCGGAAAGCATTCTCTCCCTGGACCCGGAAGTCTGCTAAGTGTCTAGAGAGGGTATTGTGCCCCATTAGTGATGGGAGGAGTCATAGGTGGGAGGCAGAGGCACAGAGCCTAGAATTAGTCGTTTGAAGTCCTATAAGGAGGCGGAACAGAGTTGGGGGAGGGGGGTCCTGGATTCTAGAACCAGTTTGCTCAGTGGTGGGGGTTGGGGAAGGGGCGCTCCTAGCTCTTGCTTTCTCTGTATTCACCTGGTGACCTCTTCACCTCCCACCATCCCATTCAGAAGGCAGGCCTCACTTCCCCCCTCAACACCCCCATCTTTTTGTTGTTGTTAATCCTTGCCCGAGGATATTTCCCCCCCACGATTTGTAGAGAGAATGGAAGGGAGGGGGAGAGAGAGACTCACATAGATGGGTGGCCTCCTGCACTCACTGGACTGTGGCTGGGATGGAACCTGCAACCCAGGTATGTGCCCTTGACCCCGGATTCCAACTCGTGACCCTTCTGTATGCAAGCTGAAGCTCTGCTTACTGAGCCACACTGGCCAGGGCTATACCCTCCCATCTTGACTTGTGAGAGATCTTGGTGCCTCAAAGAATCTGGCTGTGGGGTTTTTCTTCTCACAGTGACACTCAACTCCTGTCAAACTGTGACTTCATTTGCCGTTTACTCTTTTATTCTGATTGAAGTGTGGCTCAGTGGTTGAGCATCGACCAGGAGGTCATCGTTTGATTCCTGGTCAGGGCACATGCCAGGGTTGCAGGTTCAAACCCCAGTAGGGGGCATGCAGGAGGCAGCTCATCAATGATTTTCTCTCATCCATGTTTCTCTCTCTCCTTTTCCCTTTCTCTCTGAAACCAATAAAAATAATATATATTTGTTTTTAAAAGGAAGCTTCTTGCATAGAATCAACTTAGATTTTTAAAAAATGTATTGATCTGAGGTAAATCTGATCCCACCAGTGGCAAAAGTAACAAATTGCTTTGGGAAGGACACCAGATCTTTGTTTTACTCAGTTGGTTGATCATAGTCCCATGCACCAAAAGGTGGATGGTTTGGTTCTCAGTGGGTGCACATGCCTGGGTTTCAGGCTTGATCCCCAGTAGGGGATCTCTCTCTCTCTCAAATTAATAAAAACATTAATTTTATTAATGTTTATATTAATAATAAATATAATTATTGAAGAAGAAGAAAAAAACTTGGAAGGAGACTTTAGTCCTTGCTTGAGCAACTTTCCTGTTTTAAGAGTGAGGTGGTAAGGGCCAGAGAGGTAAAATGATTGGCCAAAACCACATGTCAAGTTATTAACAAAGTTGGGTTTAAAACTAGGATCAAGATCACCAGGTTCCATGGCAAGACAATAAATTGTCATTGTTTTTGTGAAGTTCTATTCCCAGTTATTCGGAACTTATTTATTCAGCTCATACCAGGTGCCAAGCCCTCTCCTAGGTGCTAGGGATCAGCAATAACTAAAGCAGTCCCTGCTCACATAAGTTTATGTTTTAGTGAGGGAGACAAATACTGAATATGTAGTAAGAGGTTAGGCAGTAATGAAAGATATGGGCCAGGGAGAAAATATGGAGTTGACAAGAAGCTTTTTTTTAATTGATTTTTTTTTTTTTTTTTAGAGAGGCATCAGTTCGTTATTCCACTTATTTATGCATTTGTTGGTTAATTCTTGTATGTGCCCTGACTCTTGTATGTGCCCTGACTGGGGATCGGACCAGCACCCTTGATGTATCGGGACAATGCTCTAGCCATCTGAGCTCTCCGGCCAGGGCTAAGCCCGTGAAGTGGTTTCCCTGAATTTTACAGAACCCTGAATCTTGTGGGATCTTCCACAGCGGCACAAGTTCCCTTCTGTAGCTCACACTGACATACCTGGAAATCCCTTTCTTTCTGTCAGTTACATTCCCAGCTGAGATTTTGTTCAAATTTCATTAAAGTGCAGTTCTCCATGCTGTTTTTCTTCTGCAATTGTTTGTGATCTCCTTTTGTGTTGCATACTTTTTAAAAAATCATTATTTTTTATCAGTTGTGTGTATTTCCCAAATCGGATAGCTATCAACTTTTATTCTTTCCTTTCCCAGACTCACTTGATAAAGAATCATAATACGTTCTTTTATTTATTTAGTTTTAACTTTTACTTATTGATATGAGAGAGAGAGGAAGGAAGAGAGAGAGAAACACTGATTTGTTGTTCCATTTATGTATGCATTTATTGGATGATTCTTATATGTGCTCTGACCTGGGATTGAACCCACAACTTAACGACACTAACCAACTAACATATCCAACCAGGGTCAATATGTTCTTCTTTTATTTTATTTTTGTTAATTCTCACCCAATGATATTTTTCCATTGATTTTTAGACAGAGTGAAGGGAGGGGTAGAAATAGAAACATTGATGTGAGAGCACAACATTGATCGGGCACCTCCAGTACGCCCCCCACTAGAGACCAAGACCACAACCCAGGCCTGTGCGCTTGACCAAGAATCAAACGGCAACCTGCTGGGGCAAGGGGTGACACCCAGCCAACTGGTTCACACAGGCCGGTGCAGAAATCTCTCGACTAGAGAATTTGCAAGGCTGTTTGTACAGTTTCTCTCAGATTGTGTTCCTTTACATTTCATTTTCATTGTGTTATCTTTCCTCTTGCTAAACATTTATTCTTGTGTGAATTTTCAGTCTTCCTTATTTTCATGCAAACAAGCAGGTCCATTTCAGTAATTTGCACATTCTCCCTTAACTTTCTTTTTCTCACATTTCACTTTATCCCTTGGCCTGAAAAGTACATCATCATCTTAGACTATTCTGATTTAAGAGCGACAGAGAAATAAATGCCACTCCTCTGGAGTTTTTTATTTGCTATAATCCAGGCAGTCATTCTATATACAGTGGTTTCTCCGAATGCAGTATCCATGTCAAGATTGTGTTTACATTCTCTTTGCTTTTGGAACAGAGCTGCTTGTTAGTGGTGGTTTTGTTCATCTGACTTAGAAAGCAGCTCCAAACTCTTGTTAATTCTGTTTCCAGGTTTAGCCTGACAGTCTCTGGTTTACCTTCCCAGCAAGTAATTAAATGCTTCCCTTCCTCTTTTTAAGGTCTGAAAGGGCTCAGTGGTGAGCTTTTCACCGTCAGGCACAGCTAGAGCAGGTCTGTCATTCTTCAGGATCATGGTTGTGTCCTACTGAGTTCCATGCCCCATTGACCAGGAGCAGAACCTTGTGCAGAAGCTGCATTTACAGAGCTTGGTGTTAGCCTTTTCACGGAAGAGGGATCTTTGCTTAAACCTCCTGTTTTCATTTTCATTTTCTTCATTCACACTCTCTGAGTCTCCTCTGACTTCAGGATTTGAAGTCTGATTAGGAACCACCACTTCACAGTTCTACCAACTCGCCCCTTGCCTCCCTTCCAACCCCTGATTCTTCTGGTTCCTGCCTGGGAATTACCATAGTATTTTTGACGTCTTCTACATCAAAGAAGCATGTTCCAAGAAGCATGTATTCATGCTTCTTGGAACACTGTCTTATTGGATCCTCAACAAACCTACAAGGTGGAGACCACTTCCAACTTGCTGTTGATGGAGAGATGCTCGTAAACATGGTCACACAGCAGAAAGAGACAAGGCTGGCTCCTAAGTGTTGTGCTTCTATCCCAAAGGAGTTGCAGTTGGTTACTATTCCTACACATTTGGTTATTAAAAACCTGATCTTTAAAAAAAAAAAGTTACCTTGGTTTTGAGGTACAAAGAAGTCTAAAATGCTCTCCGGCCCTGGATTAAATTCTCCAAGTACAGTAATTGTGCTGATACGGGCACTTCCACCTCTCAGGATATATATTGGCCTGCAGTGATCTCTGCTCTTTCTGAAAATCCGGAGGTGGCCCCAGGACCTCAGCGAGGGTTGTTCACATCCTGCCCTGTGCCTTCAGGCTTCCCCACAGTGCAGGGCCATTCACTTTGGCTGCTTTCCCATCAAGAGAAAGGAAACATGAAAGCTGTATTTGAATATTAATGTTAAGGTTGCAACTTTGGGTAGGGTAGCAGTTTTGGTACTTCATTTGTGAGCTGTGTATATTTCTGATGTCTGTATATTTCTGATTTGTGATTTTAGGTCACAAGAGTTAAGAAACAAAAGCAAAGTCATTTGATTGGTGTCTGGCAGACAATCAATCTGACTGGCTTGCCCTGACATTGAGCCAGTTCTTTAGTTTCTAGCTTTGGTACTGGGTCAGTGTAGGGATGTCTCAAGGTGTCAGTGATGCTGATGCCTGGACACAGAGCAGTAATGTTTGAAGGGAGCTGTCTGATGCCATTTGGGAGTTAGTATTTTAAATTCTAAAGTCTCAGCCCTGTGGCCATTTGCACATAAGGAAGCTCTCATTTCCTGGTGATGCTAGATGAACTTGTCATTCATGTGACAAAAGTTTTCCAGGTACCTCCTGTGTGTTGGTCTGTTCTAGGAACTTGGAACACAGCACCATGAGGAAGCGCATCATAAGTCTTATCTAACATCCCCCATTTGTGTGTGTTTCCAGTGCCTGCCACAGCGCATGCATGAGAGCATGGAAGCAGGCTGTAGCCCTGGGAACAGATGCTAAGGGCGACTAGGATCCATGTGGGTCCACACCTTTAATCCTGTCCTCTTGTGTCTTTATCCACTCTGTATTCTTTCCAGAGGGCTCCTCTTCAGCACAGAGGCCTTACCACATGGAGAATGAGGTGCAGGACCACAGAATATCAGGGTTGGGCCAGATCTCAACATGTCCCTGACTCAGCTCTTCAGTTACACAGTCTCCTACATAACATTCCATCCTTCCTCCTGGTCTTCAGGAGCTTCTGTTGCTGGACTGCCCTTCCTCCTGGGGAGGTGTGGCTTCTGTAAAAAGCAAGCCCCAACTTTCACGTTTACCACCTTTATGATATCACACACATGTGGCTTGAGCTGGGCCCATCCCCACTGTCCCTGTAGATAGCCTCCAGCTAAGGAACCCCATCTCTGGGGCTGTACTCCTGGCAGCAGGCACTGGCTCTGCCTTCTGGGGACTCTGAGCCCCTGCTGACCCTGCTGCAGTGGGGCTTTGAAAGAGGACTTTCGGGCTGGCTGCATAGTGCCTTTTGCTTGGGCTCAGTAAGCATATGTATGTGCTGTGTGTGTGTACACCTGCACATGTGAATATGTGCGAGTCAGGAGCCCAGTGGCCCTGAGTGCTCTTTGTTCCTCTCCCACAGCTCCCCCTTCTGGCCCATCTGTGTCTTTCATGCAGCTGGTCTGGGGTGCAGCTCCAAGTGTTTCCCAATCTCTTTTGTGACGTCCTTCTTCCCACTCACTCTGGTCCCAAAGACATCTCCAGCCCCAAGGCTGTCTGCCAGGCTTCACTTCCTCCCTCTACTCTGTTCCCAGCCAGCATACCCTGGGCCTTCAATCTCTGGTTCCTCCTCCGCCGCCGCCTCCTCCTCCTCCTTCTCCTCCCTCTGCATTCTCTGCTGCATCTAGGATACTCAGATCTCATTGGGTCAGGCTCCATAGATGACAACAGGGCATTCAGATCTACAATCACTGCTACCAGTGAGTGGCACATACACTTTCCAGCCTTTTCATAGGTTCTTTTCTGCCAAGAGCACTTCTTTGCCTGGGAACACGAACACACACACACACACACACACAGCCCCAGAAATGCCCCCTCCCCCTATCCCATGCTGTTCTTTCACAGAGCCTGGCAAGTCAGGGTCTTCTGTTCAGCCCTAGATTTGCTTGCAGGACTCTGAAAACATTTGTGGGACAAATGTCAGAGATGAATGCTTGAGTCCTAGATGGTCTGACAGACTGTGGTTAGTGGATGGACCTTCCTGGCACCTAATTGCCTCCTGTAGGAATGTGGAGTTCCAGGGCACAGCAGTCCTCAGTGGGAGCATGTTATTGTCTGAACTATGTCCTGCATGTGTGCTAGCAAAGGGACTATGAGCTCAGGTCTCAGAATCATTTCTGCTGCCCCTTTGCCAGTTCGCTGCCCTCACAAGTCCTTCCTGGAGCTCTCCTCCTCCCCTCTGAGGCTAACTACTCATGTCTAAGCATCTTTTAAATGCCAGTAAGGATTGACACCCCCAGACTCACTCTCCAGTTGTACTTGAATTCCCATGTTATGATTTGCTATTGAGGAACTGCAGTAATTGGCACATAGGGACCCCTCCGCATTCCTTCCCCTTCTGAAGCATGTGGCTCCAGTGGGAGGGGCTCAGACTCACCTGCCTGGTGAGACAGGAAGCACCCTGTCAGTAAGGGAGAAAATGCTTGTTTCCCTCTCCCCAGGCATGCTGTGGTTGCTGGATTAGAGGATAAATGAGCCTAGAGGCCACCTCCCCACTTACCTGAACACCTGTAGTCTTCGTGACAGGACAACCAGTATAAACCCCAAAGCCAGAGTTAATGAGTATGTGCCACACATTTGGCTGAGAATTAATACTTTTTTATTTCTCTTTCAGTGGTTGATATCACAGCAAGTATCCTTTTCTTTGTACTGTTTCCTTTAAGAAATGTTGTTTAATAAAAAGTATGTGTTATAAACTTGAATTCCCAGTATGATACACCCATGGGTTTAGGTCTTGGAGAATCCCTGCACAGCCATATCTGTCCCTTCAGACCAGTGGCCTCACCATGGGTGCCATGTTCCTCTTCAAGCCCAGCATCTATTGTAGTTCCACACCTAGCCAGCTGCAAGCTCAGGGACTGCTGGGGGAATACATAAACTTAGAGTTCCGACTGGCGAACCTCCCCAGTATAAGAACCCCACACATTATCTTTTTTTAAAAAACAATATTTATTTTATATACATATTTTTTACTGATTTCAGAGAGGAAAGGAGAGGGAAAGAGATAGAAACATCAATGAAAAGAGAGAATCATTGATCAGCTGCCTCCTGCACTCTCCCTACTGGAGATTGAGCCCACAACCCTAGCATGTACCCTTGATCGGAATCAAACCCATGGCCCTTCATTCCTCAGGCTGATGCTCTATCCACTAAGCCAAATGGCTAGGACACACATTATCTCTTTTAAACTGACCTTTCTGCAGATCTGTACTTCCTTAACCAGATGTCACTAGATCCCACAGTTTGAAGATGTTAAATTTGAAGCAGCAAGTCTTTTGTCTGAATTATACTGTCAAGAGGTAAGAGCCTGTGGAGGTTTCTGAAAGCGGGGTCTCCCTGTAATGACGGCAAAATAACAAATTGATGCTCTCAGGAGTGGACTGACTCCCTTTTGGCTTTCTTATTGTATTTATTGTAATCATTACCGAATGGTATGTTTTTTGTTTGTTTTTTGCTTTTTTAAAAATATATTTTATTGATTTTTTTACAGAGAGGAAGGGAGAGGGACAGAGAGTTAGAAGCATCGATGAGAGAGAAACATCGATCAGCTGCCTCTTGCACACCCCCACTGGGGATGTGCCTGCAACCAAGGTACATGCCTTTGACTGGATTTGAACCTGGGATCCTTCAGTCCGCAGGCTGACGCTCTATCTCCTGAGCCATACCAGTTTTGGTCAAAGGATATGTTTTTGTTGATTTTAGAGAAGGGGCCCTCCTATATGCACCCAACAGGTGATTGAACTGGCAACCTGGATATGTTCCCTGACCAGGAATCAAACCTGCAACCTTTGGTGTATGGGAAGATGCTCTAGCTAACTGAGTCACCTTGCTGGGGCTTTTTGTTCTGTTTTTTTTTCTTTCTTTTTTTTCTTTTTTTTCCTGACTTCCTTCTGGTTTTTAATGCTTCCCAATACTTTCCTACTTTTAGTGGTTGTGGGTGATCACTTGCTCATGAGGACCAACAGAATATTTTTCTAAGACTTCAGAGACTTGGAAAACACAGCCTTGTCCTAGGCTAAAGCTAATTAGTTCTTGAACAAGTCCATATAGTTTATCTTTGTAATATGTTTCCTGATCTCACTGTAGCTGAAAATCATTTCCACATTGAGCAACAGCCTGTGAGGCTCCCTGGGTAACAGAATGCATGCTCCACACCCCTGGCCCGTCTCTCTTGTTGTACAAGAAAGATGGCAATTGTCATTCAATTGTTCAGGATTTTGAACTAAAGCTACTTTCAGTTTAGTTGAATGAGTTATTTTATGATCAGTGCAAAAACCTCCCAGCCAGTGAGTCCAATAAAATGTCTTTTCTTGCCCAGCTGGTATTGCTCAGTGGTTGAGCATCAACCCATGAACCAGGAGGTCATGGCTTAATTCCCAGTCAGGGCACATTCCCTAGTTGCTGTCTTGATCCTCAAAAGGGTGTGTGTAGGGGGCAGCCAATCAATGATTCCCCCTTATCATTGATGTTTCTATCTCCCCCTTTCCCTCTCTCTGAAATAAAAACATATTTAAAAATATATATATCTTCTTCCTCTTCTTGCTTTTTTTTTTTTTTCCCCCCAATCTCCTGGTGTCCTGGTGCATGGGATAACACTCAACAACTGAGCCACACTGGCCAGGCTTTTTTTTAATTATTATTATTGATTTTTAGAGAAAGGAAGGGAGAGGGAGAGAAAGAGAGAAACCGATATGAGAGCACACATTGATCAGCTGCCTCATGCAAACCTCCCACCAGAGATCTTTTTTAAATAAAAGTAAGTCAGCAACCCACAAATCCATTTGTGAGTGTGAATGGAGTGGTCATCCGGCATCCCAGCATATGGAATCCAGCTTGCCTGCCAGCTTATTTCCTTTCTTCCCCAAATGTGACTGTTTCCTTTCAGAATTCCGTTGATGCAGCAAAGCCACTGTTGCGGAAAGCGATCCAGATATCGCAGCAGACCCCATACTGGCACTGCCGCCTGCTCTTCCAGCTTGCTGTGAGTACTGTGGGGCCTGGCCAAGACATGGGTGCTAAAATTGGGGCACACCCACCTGACTACTTCAGGACTCGCAGGCCTTCCTCAGGCTGCTGCACTGAGACAGTGGGGACACAGGGATAATCCTTTAGCTTGCTCACAAGTCCCTTTCAGCCTCTGACGTCAGCAGTATCTCCAGCACAGGTCTTTCATTCAGCATCAAGGGTGATTGCATTCCCCTCTCTTCTGGTGCTTCCTTTTGCCTGTATTCATTTAAATTTTGAAAGCATTTCTTGCTGGAAGCCCACCATGTTTTTAAGAGCTGCGCTGAGATTCTAAGGGGCTGTCTATTGAGCAATGAATGTCTGCTCGAGTTAAGCTTTGCAGGGCTGCTGGGGCACAGCCTCACCTGGGCTCTATGCGGTCATCCCTTCCCAGCCTCCTCCTCCCTCAACTTCCCTGCAGCTCTCCAGACATAGTGGTGGCCTGGTCCCAGTGCTCTGAGATGCTTAGGTAGAGGGAGCTCTCTGAACTAGGTCTTTCTGGTTGTAGTGACTGGGCCTAAAGGCTCCCTGAGGGGGGTGCCTTTCTATTCTGGGCACTGCCTACATTTCCCTCTCACTGCTGGCCTCCAGCCTTTCCTGTTCCTGACACAGCCTGTCCTCTACACTGCCTCTTGTCTATCTTCCATGACATAATTCCATTACCTGCCTGTGTGTGCAGGATGTGGGCCCTCGGCTGGAGTTGCTTTATCTTCCCTCCACCCCTCACCCCCATCCCCTAGAGTCCCTCATCCCAGAAGGGTGTAGCTCAGGGTCCCTGCTGGGAAAGCTTGTCCAACCAGTGCTCCTGAGCTCTTCCTCCCTGGCCTGCTGCTGTTCCGCACAGCATCGTCTCCTTTAATTCTCCCTTGTGTGCTTTGCACATTGGCACATAATATGTGGGCCAGACTCCTGACTCAGGTCACAGAGTTGCAGGGTGCTTCATGCACCTGGGAGCCCAGCTCACCTGAGGCCCCACAAGTGTCCTTTCCTTTTAGCTCAAGGCTTCTGGGTTTAAACTCCTGCAGACACTTGCCCCTGAAGTAGTTCTTGTTTGGGGTTCCTCTGGCTCCTCCCTAGTGACTGGCCCCTGAAGGTGACCTTTGAAGCACAGAGATACACTCGTGCAGCCCTGGGTCTACGCCTGTGAGTGTTAATTGCTGGCTCTATGCACTATTAAGTTTAGATGATGTACACAGTGCAGGCGGAATAGATTTCTGTACCTAAAGCAGTTAACATTGATGACAGTATTTGGTTAACTCAAAACTGACACTGAGGCAATTTTGTTGACAAGTGGGGAGGTTCACTTTAACTTGCCAACAAAGCTTAAAGGTCAGGTACTGAGTATTATAAAGCAAGAGCTTTGGAAGCAAGGATTATTATTCTCTCTCCTTTTTAGCAACTGCACACCCTTGAGAAGGACCTGGTGTCAGCCTGCGACCTCCTAGGTGTGGGAGCTGAATATGCACGGGTGGTGGGATCCGAGTACACACGGTAGGCACCTCTCCCCACACCCCTTCCCTCTTACTTGGAAAGAGCTCAGCCATTTGATCCTGGACAACAGTGTTTCCCAAACTTTTGTGTACCCCTTCTATAATTTTCGTAATGCTGAGTACCCCTCGTACTCATAAGAACGTAGAATTAGGCTCAGCTAAGCACAGTGCAGTGCATATCCCCACCAAACTCCGGTGCAACGCATACCTTCACCAAACTCTTCCCGTACCCCTGGGGGTACACGTACCACCCTTTGGGAAACACTGCTGGACAACAAGTAGAATTGGCATTTCAGCATGAAACAGCAGTCATCTGCACACATAATAAGAGGTGTACAAATTAAAGCACCACATAATGCCTTTTACTCCATCAATTCACCCTGTTAACCCATGTAGTTGGAGAGTTGCCTGTGAGGGTGAAGGGCAGCTGGTATTCTCAGCACAATTGGCATTTACATATATCTAGTTTTTTGAAATAAAAAGTGCTTGTACGATTTGTTGGGCTCATCCCCTTCTTGGTGCAAATATGAAAGTGATGCCTGCAGAGGGCATAACTAGCATGCTTGTCAGCACCTATGGTAAGTAACTCCAGTGTCCCTCTCAGGATGCCCAAGAACTTTTAGAAGTACAGCAATAGATAGTAAGCTGAGTAAGCGTAAGTTTGTATAAAAGAAGGGTGGTTCACTTGGTTGGAGCTTTGTCCTGGGCACAGAAAGGTGGCGGGTTCGATTCCCAATCAGGGCAAATACACAGGTTGTGGGTTTGATCCCTGGTGGAGGTTCATGTGGGAGGTAGCCAATTGATGTTTCTTGGTGTATGGAGACAGTGCTCTAACCAATTGAGCTACCCGGCCAATTGATGTTTCTTACATCGTTTCTCTCTCTCTCAAATCAATTTTTCAAAAATAAAAAATAAAAAAGGGACATAGCCCTGGCCCAAGTTCATTCGAGCGTTGTCCCAATATATCAGGGTTGTGGGATTGATAATCAGTCAGGGCACATACAAAAGTCAACGAATGCATGTATAAGTAAGTGGAACGACAAATCAATGTTTCTCTCTCCCTTCCTCTTTAAAATCAATCTTCTATATATAAAAGGCTACTATGCCAAGCATCCCCTCAGGAGTTTGATTGCTTGCTGTGACATGCGCTGACCACAGGTGCGGAATGAAGGAAAGCGAAGGCCCTGCGAGCAGCCAGAGGCCCAGATCGGTCCTGATCTCTGGCCAGGCCTAGGGACCCTACCTGTGCATGAATTATGTGCACTGGGCCTCTAGTTTAAAATAAAAAGGGAGACAAAGATTCGTGTTATGCATGAAACTGCTTAGACCATCTGGAGGCTTTTACCCTAGGGTTGGGTGTCGGGGTCAGAGGCCTTAGGAACTTCACTGTGTACCCTCTGTGAAGGCCTCTAGTCTCTTTTTTTCCCCAAAGAGAAGAATTCTGTGCACTTGACAAACTCCGGGCAGCAGTGCTCTTATTCTTTTGTGTGCTTTGAGGTTCTGGAAAGTTCTCTCTTACAGAACTGAGCTTATCCCATGGAATGATTGGGACGGAATGGTCCCCAACTCTGTTCTCTGAGCTCTGGCTCATGTGTGGCCCATGTGGAGCCACACAGCTTTCCATAGGCTGCCTTCGTCCCTCAGCCAACCTCCCGTGAGATGGCAGCTATTACACTATCTGGCCTCACATTCCTGGCCCCTTATGTTGTGGCTGCCACTGGGTCCGTGATGACACACTTTGTAGGGTACAGGGACAGCTACACAGCAGATGTTCCCACAAGTTCACCTATTAGTGTCCCCAGATAGGCTTCTGTGCCGATATGGGTGAATGACTTAGGTGGCCTCCACCACGGCACAGAGCCTGCAGGTCACCTGGCCCAGAACCCTTGACCATGGATGTAGAGCCTACATCAAGTGCTTCCTATGTGACAACATCAGAACCCTGATGTGAAGTTCCAAGCCTTCTATTTCAGCAGTTGAACAGCTGACAGACTTAAAGAGTACACACCTTTAGGTAACAACAGGGAAGAACTTGGTGTTCTGGAGCACAAACATCTTGTGAGTTTAAACACTACAGGCCCCTCAGTTGTGGCGGACATGAGGCAGGGCTTCTGCTCACTATGGTGCAGCCCTTTGGGCACCCGGACACTTGAACACTACTGGCCCCTCCGTTGTAAAACGGAACGGCACCACTTGATGGAGTGTTGGCCACAGCACTTAGGGACTCTGCCAAGAATGGTGGGACAGAGACAGACATTGAATAAACGGAACTGTGGGCTCTGCATGACCACAGATGTTCCTGAAGGCAGCACCTGTCTCCCCTGTTTTGGCTGTTTCCTAAACTTGTTAGCATGCTCATTTTATTACTTTTGTTGACAACCATGCACATATATTTAGAAAATGCTGAAAGGTTTAAGAGAACAATAGAAATTTAGCCTTGCTGACTATTGCGAGTAGAGACAGTGGGTGGTGAGGCTGCTGACATGTCTGGAGCTCCCCAAGTTCACCTCCTTAACACTCAGAATCAGAAGGCTTGGCTGGTGAGGAAGGGGAAGTGTAGAGGGGCCTCAGTGAGACATGGCTTTGGGTTCAAACACCAAATCCTGCCCACTATCCCCATAACCGATGCTGTCTACCAATGTTGTGTCAGCAAGAGTGAGATTATGGCAAGCACATTCTCTTGTACTTAACCCCTCCGTGATTTCTGAGCATCTGTCTATCCTGGGCTTTTGAGCCACATGAGTGTCTAAATAGGCCAAACACATAAAGAAAGATTGAATAGAACCAAGTGGAGCATTCTGATAAATAAAACCAGCCTCATTGGGGGTCGCTGGGGGCCACTGTCATCTCTTTAAACCATCCCCAAGCTTGCTGGTTGGTCTTTATTGATGTTGGGGTGGTGGGCATCCAGGAGGCGCCTGGGCCTCACAGACTGACTTCCCCTCTCTGTTTTCTAGGGCACTGTTCCTGCTCAGCAAAGGGATGGTAAGTTGAGGCTGAGCAGAATGGCACAGCCCTTTGGGCACCCAGACACTTAAACACTACAGGCAGCCATCAGAGTGAGGCCCCGTATTTCAGCTGGGTTGAGGTGAAACTCAGGTTCCAGGTTGTGTAATTTGTGCTGAGGAAGGATCAGCCTAGATGTGGGTTCCAGCCCAGCTTTTTGCCTTCCCTGCATGGTTCCAGCAGTCCCCCAGTGGGTGGGCAAGCAGACCATGGCCCTGTGCACTGGGAGAGGCCCTCAGCACCTGTGCCTCTCCCTCCCCAGCTGCTGCTGATGGAACGCAAGTTGCAGGAAGTCCACCCACTGCTGACGCTCTGTGGACAGATTGTCGAGAACTGGCAGGGAAATCCTATCCAGAAGGAGTCTTTACGTGTCTTCTTCCTTGTGCTCCAGGTGACACACTACCTGGATGCAGGGCAGGTGGGTAATGCCTCCCACAGTAGGGCTGCTGGGGAGCAGATGGGCAATGGGATGGGCAGGCCTTGGGCTGAGATACCCACTCTGTTGCCTCATGTCCCTCACCACAAAGTGCATCTCATTCAAGATTTAGCTCCTCCACATACCCTGTTGTGCTCTGGCATGAGTATTGTGCCCCTGAGGGCAGAGGGTGCTCTGATAGTGGTCGGTCCTTGTGGTAGGAGTAGTCATGGTCTCGCACAATTCCATGATAATAAATGGGGATTCTGGCAAGATGCCTGACACACAGCAGGTACTAAAACAGTGTCTGTCCGTCACCCGCAGCTGATGAGAACTTTGTGAGGTTCAAGTAGGGAATGACAGAATCAGTTGTTTCTGAGAATTTGTATAATCCCCGTGTAGTTGAGGAGAGGCTGTACCCCCTATGGGTGAGTGTGCTCAGCCTTTGGGGGTGTTGCCCTACCTATTCACCCCACCCTGTCCCGCTGACTCACCACAGGCCTGGCCTTGAATCCTAGGAGGCTGCAGGTGGAGCCCCAGAAAACGTCAGGTCTTTTCATTGGTAAGGGACTGCCTCAGATTCCCTACCCATGTCTGCATTTACCTGTTGGGCCAAGTGCTGCACTCAATACATAGAAACATAGAGCACATTCATGGGGTGCTCTGGACATGTCCTATGGGGCCTGGGGACAGGGCTTCCCAGTGCCCAGAGGCCAGTTCATATGAGGCACAGCACCTGTAGGACTCCTGGCCCAGGAAGCTACTTCTTGCCCCCAAGGATGACTACTAGCTGCCCCAGCCCTGTCCTGCTCTCTCAGCAGAAAGTAGGAAACATAGTCTACGGCCATACCACCCTGAACGCGCCCGATCTCGTCTGATCTCGGAAGCTAAGCAGGGTTGGGCCTGGTTAGTACTTGGATGGGAGAAAGTAGGAAACATAGCTCATGCAGGGTCTTTGGACGGATCTCTCCAGGTCCTTGGTGTTTGGACCCAGCACTGGGCAGTAGCTGAGCCTTACTCCCACAGATGACCCTCTGACCCTGACCCCCTCCTTGAGAGCCTGCTTCCTGCAGGTGGTGGGTGTGGCGGGAGCTTCTAGGAAGAAGGGACTGGTGAGCTGGCACCTATTGGGAGCAGGTACTCAGGTGTGCAGTACTGCCCACCCACTGCAGGTGAAAAGCGTGAAGCCATGCCTGAAGCAGCTGCAGCAGTGCATTCAGACCATCTCTACTCTGCATGACGATGAGATTTTGCCCAGCAACCCCGCTGACCTCTTCCACTGGCTGCCCAAGGAGCACATGTGTGTGCTTGTCTACTTGGTGAGTCCCCAGGGCCGAGGCCAGGGACCAGGTGGTTGAGGAGAGGACCCTAGTGACCACCACCGTCTGGTCTTGTCTCCAGGTGACTGTGATGCACTCCATGCAGGCTGGCTACCTGGAGAAGGCGCAGAAGTACACAGACAAGGCACTCATGCAGCTGGAGAAGCTCAAGAGTACGTTGGGCTGGGTGGGTCACATTGCCATTGTGCCCCTTGGTCTGTGGCTTGGCCACCGCCTCACGCTGGGCCTTAGAACCCTGTAGAACCATAGTGCCAGGCAGTCCCCACGAATCCCTGTCCCATAGGTCTTGTTACTCTAATTGGCAGATGAGAGTGACGGATCAGGACAGAGCAGGCCAGGCCTAGGCTTGACCTTTTATCCTTGGCTAAGGGTCTTGTGCCATCTCACCCTGTCCACCCCACTACACAAGACAGTTGTGATAGTTAGTTGATCCCACCTGAGCCTGCTGAGACAACAGTGCTCAGTTGAAATGGGGTCTGCTATTTGTGTTGTGACATGGATTGTGCTCAGCGTGAGGCTGGGATCTGAATTTGGCTCTTGCTGACAGATGGCCTAGAAGTTGTGGGTTCTTCCTGGACGTTTGACTGATCTATCCTGTGGGATCAGGGACCTTTGACTAGCAGGGACCCAGAGCTTTGATTCAGTGTCCCCATTAACCTGCTCACCCAGTCCCTGTACCCTTTGTCAGCACTGCTGGAGGAGAAGCCATTAGCTAAAGATACAAAGCCCTCAGGGATCATAGTTCATTCCCTCTGGCCAAGTGGGGGAAGGTCTCTGCTGTCTAGTTCCAATATGAGATGACAGCCACTTGGGTCTCTCCACTGCTGCCTGAGGTTGTCACACAGTATCATTCTCCTGGGCAATGCCAACCCATTATGTTTGGAGTGTTCTTGAGCACCCAACTGGGTTGTGGTGGGTCAGGGTGGAAAACAAGTCCCTCCAGGGATTTCTTACTCTTAAAATACTCTAGTCAACAGAAACTGCTATGAGCCTATCTCCCTCTCCACCCGAGCAGGGAGGTGAAACCGGCACTCATGGGTGCAGTGAGCATGAATAAAGCGACAGGTTAGGTGTTGGCATGGTGCCCAGCAGGGCAAGTAGGCTCAGACCTGGTGGGAGGGAGGACCAGGGGTCAGCCTCTTCTGGCTGCATCCTGAGTGTTCATCCCTTTCTCACCTCCAGTGCTCGACTGCAGTCCCATCCTATCCTCCTTCCAAGTGATCCTGCTTGAGCACATCATCATGTGCAGGCTTGTCACAGGACATAAGGCCACCGCACTACAGGAGGTGAGGCCGCTGGGGACGGGAGGACCGGGCACCGGTGGTTGGAGTTTGCCGAATTCCAGAAGTTACCACATAGGAGAATGTAAATTTGCCCAGTGCACATCAGCAGGACATTTGTCTGTGTCAATTCACTAAAACTTGGCAGTTGGTGACCCTACATGGGCACAATTGATCAGACATCTGGTACAGAAATCCATGGCCCTATCCCTAAAAGCTGGGCAATGTCAGCATTTCTAGAAGTGCCCAAGAAAGATGGAGCTCTCCTTGCTGCATGTAACTTCTGCTTACCAACTTCTTGAGCGGGCACAGGCCCTTAAGCAGAGCAAAGGTGCTGACAGCAGAAGACAGGTTAGAAATGAGGGAGAAGGCAGGTCACAGAAGGATCACTGTCTTCAAGGAGGTTTGGACTGCCCTTTGCCCCATTATGGACACACCCACTAGAACTTTATACCCAAGTTAGGGCAGGCAGGATGTGGGCACTGGATCCCAGGTTACAGGTCTCGTGACGTTGGGCATACTCTCCCGGCAGATCTCACAGGTCTGCCAGTTGTGCCAACAGTCACCCCGGCTCTTCTCCAACCATGCTGCACAGCTGCACACGCTGCTGGTGAGTATGCAAGACTGCCTGCCCCAGCACCATTCCAATGTGTAACCCCATGACAGTCGCCCCAATGGACATTCTAACAGACACCTTAAGTCCAAGTTGACTTGGGTCTCAGGAGAAGGGAATAACCCAGCATGCTGTCTTTCTGCCTCCTCGCCAGGGCAAAAGCTCAGGTGTACCTGGCTGATAGAGTCACTGATCAGGCTCATCTGTATGTAGCCATGTCTCCCTGGGCAAGTGGCAAGGCTTCAAGTCCTCAAGTGCCTCCTTCTTCCAGGGCCTGTACTGTGTCTCCGTCAACTGCATGGACAACGCAGAAGCCCAGTTCACCACAGCCCTGCGGGTAAGGTGCTGGCCCTCTCTGCATGGGGCAGGCAGTGCTTCTTAGTAAGGAGTTAGGTATGGGTTGTGATAAGGACAACAGCCACAGAGGCCACCTGCTGCTTCCAGGTTGGAAATTCCACTAGGGCTAGTGCCACATCATCATGGAGTCAACAGCCAAGTGGCAGGTCTCAGCTCTGCCCACCTTGCTCCAGGACCAGACAAGCACATCCTCACTTCAGCCCCTATGTGCTTCCAGGAAAAGGAAGCCAGCAACACCTTCCTCCTGGTGGTCCTGGGGAGGCCCCAAGCAGAGATTGGGGTGTGGGGGCTGCTCTGTGACTCCGGAGAGGTCACGGGTGTCATGTGCACCCTGACTGTCAGGCAGGGAGCTCTGCTTTGCCAGTCTCCAGACCTCTTTACTCCTGGGGTTGAGCTCTGGTGGTGGCACTGCTCCTCCAGGATGCTCCACATGGGCGTAGGCACAGGCAGCACACCAGAGCCTGAAGAGCAAATACAATGCTCATTCCCATGGCTTTCCATGCCCATTCTGTGTCCCAGTCGGCTTAGGCTGCCAGGACCACACACACACACACACACACACACACACACACCACACACCACACACTACCCTGCCTGCAGTTACCACGGCCTGTAATAGTCTCTTGGCCCCTTCCTCCTCACCTCACTTCCCACAAGCGGCTGCTGCTGCTCTGATGGTGTGTCTCAGGGAATCCCCCATTAGCCAAGAGGAAAGTGGTGCAATCAGAACTCGGACCAACCTTCTTGATGCCAAACAGCTCTTTTTGTGGTACTACAACAAACTAACCAGAGCACTTCCTGCAGTTGGGATTTGCACTTCACCTGCACTCAACCTTTTGCACACTGCTCTTGCTCAGACCCTCTGGGAGTCAGGACCTGGGTGATACTTGGGCCTCTCGTACCGATTCGTGTCTTGGCCATTCTCGGTTCCCAAGAACTGGGACAGTGGTCTATCCACCACTGGTCATTAGTAGCATCTCTAGCCTCTTTCCTGGTGGGGGCCTTTCCAGGACCAAGATGTACCTCTGTTGTATCTGTGCTCACAGGGTCTGAGGGTCACCATGGTTTGGAGGGAGTGGCTGCCTGGGTCTCAGTCCTGAGAAACAAACAGAAAATGGACCAAAATGTAGTGTGTTCTGAGGACAGGATCAGTGCAGCTGGTTTCCCACATTTCTCATAACACAGAGGATGGTTTTATAGCCGAAAGAACTAACAGCTGTACTGTTCTTGCATTTAGGAGGCAGGTGTGTGTGTGTAGGGAGTGGTGGTGGTGGTGGTGGTGGTGGTGGTGGTGGTGGTGTGTGTCTGAATTAAAGAGAATGAGAGGTTCTGCAATAGCCACTAGGAAATGTTTGGGTAGCTCCCTTGCCATGAGCAGCCAACTCCTAATGCCCTGTGTCCCCATTTCAGCTCACCAACCACCAGGAGCTATGGGCCTTCATCGTAACCAACCTGGCCAGTGTGTATATACGGGAAGGAAATAGACACCAAGAGGTAGTAGGTGACATGCTTCATAATTGGTATCCTTCCTTTCAGCTCTTACACAGAGGCTAGGGTGGGAGATGTCCTGGGCACCAGCCATTTCAGCAGCCCGAGCATATCTGTCCGTAAGAGTATAGTGTGGCTAAGGACGGCCACATCTGGGGCAGAAACATTCCCTGGCTAAGTAACACTTATTTCTTCCTGTTGAAAACAAGCCAAGCTTTATCAAATCTCCCAGGACAAATTTAGTTTCTCTCCTGAGCTTTCTGTTATAGAAACACAGTGAGACCTCGTGGCCCATGCACTGTGACCCTCTCACCTGGCATTGGGCAGGGTAGGCTGAGGGTGCAAGGACCCTGCACCAGACCCTTCACACTGGATGCTGTGATTCCCATGAGGGTGTGAGGAAGTGAACAATCCATGCAGTGTCCTATAGTTCCTTCACCTGGTCTAGATCCTGCCCCCTCTACCAGCAGGTTGCCCAGGCGTACGATTCACAGTGAGGACTGCATTCTATCAGGAAGTTGCAGGCAGCCCTGGTCAATTTACTAGCATAGTTGGGGCCATACTTTCTGACATTTAGAAATGCAGAGTGATCCCAACTGACATTTCTTTTGCAGTTATACAACTTGTTGGAGAGGATCAACCCAGACCACAGCTTCCCTGTCAGGTACATGGCCCCACACTGAGGTCCTACTTTACCATTGCCTTTTTTGTGTATTTTTTGCGCTCTGGGTGGTGCCACCACCTATGGGGCCCCTGACTGCCCTGTTACTCCCAACACCACCACCCCCTCCCCTTTTGTAAGCCTGCTATATTTACAGAACCCCACCAAATTGTGATGCTTCACTCTTCCCCCAGCTCTCACTGCCTTCGAGCAGCGGCTTTCTACGTGCGAGGGCTCTTCTCCTTCTTCCAGGGACGCTACAATGAGGCCAAGTGAGTGCTGTTGAGGGCGGGCAGCCTGGGCTGGCCCTCTAGGTGGTCTTCTCCCTGACAGCATATGCTCCACCCCTCTGTGCCCCAGCCAGGCAGGTTCTGCTCAGGGCTGAGAGGCTGCTGCTGCCCTTCCTCACCCAGAGGCATTCAATGGGGCCTCAGTCTGTTCCCTTCTTTAGGCGATTTCTGCGAGAAACTCTGAAGATGTCCAATGCAGAGGACTTGAACCGGCTCACAGCCTGCTCTCTGGTGCTTTTGGGCCACATTTTCTACGTGTTGGGGAACCACAGGGTGAGTGCCCAGGCCGGGCTGAGGGACAGGGCCAGCATGGTTCTTGGGGGCACCGTCAGGCAGTGCTTTGCATCCAGTGCCCCTCAGTTGTTTTGTCTTGGTGACATCCTTCCCCCAGCCCTCTTTGCTTCATGAGGCTTGGCAAGGGCAGAGGTATTCTGGCTCGCACAGCCGGGGGCCAGGCCTGGGGAATTTGGAGTCCCTGGAGGGTGGGCCTATAGGGCAGACGGATCCTGTGCTTGGTTGGGGCTTCCTGGAAAGGGGAGGGCTGAGGCAGATTCCCCTTTGTGTGTGTTAATATCTTGGATGGAGAGTGTCCTCTTAGTCAGAATCCCTTGGGTTCTGTTTCTGCCCAGCAAACATGATATCCTCAGGTCTGCTGTTTCCACTCTCACCTAGAGTGACCCCTGGAGCTGGTTCTGGTCTCCCCATCAGTTATGCCTCATTGCATGCTCTCACCCATTGACCTCACAGACCTTTAATTTTTTAACAAAACCATTTGTCCGTATTATAAAATATGACATGTTTATCATAGAAGCTCTGAGAAGCAAAGTTGAAAATCATTGCATAACCTCTGTTTTCCGGCTTTTTCCATTGCTCGCCCCTGCCTACCCATAGGTTTTGTTTCTCAGGATGTTTTCTAGTTTTACATCTTGTCTTTCCCTACACCATTGTATTAGAGCTTTTTTAACAGCAGCAAGAATTTTGAAGCAGCATCTACTCCATAGTTTAGCCAGCCTCACTTGAACTGTTTTTACAAAACAGATGACACAGGTCAGGTGTCTTGGCCTGTAAGTTTCATCTGACCAAACCCTGGAGCTCCCTAAAAATTAGCTTTTTATTTTCATTTTATATATACACTGAGTGGCCAGATTATTATAATCTCTGAACGCATAATAATCTGGCCACTCAGTGTATATCCTATATAATAAAATGCTAATATGCAAATTGTCCCCTCAACCAGGAGTTCGACCAGCTGGAAGTCCTGCCAACTGCCCATGTCCCCTCCTCCTGGCCAGGCTGGCTGGACCAGACCCCCACCCATGCATGAATTCATGCACCAGGCCTCTAATATTAATATACACACACACACACACACACACACACACACACACACACTCTGAGTGGCCAGATTATTATGCGTTCAGAGATCATAATAACCTGGCCACTCAGTGTCTTTATGTGTGTATATTGATTGATTTCAGAGAGAAAGGGAGAGAGAGAAAGTTCAGTGAGAGAAAATCATTGATCAGCTGCCTCCTGCATGCCCCCTACTGGGGACTGAGCCCACAATCCAGGCATGTGCCCTTGAATGGAATCAAACCTTTTAGTCCCCAGACCAACACTCTATCCACTGGGCCAAACCAGCTAGAACAAAAATAAGCTTTTTAAATGAGCCTGGCTGGTTTCCCTCCCCACAACCATGTAACAAGTGTTTTCCAAGGCTAACTGGCCCTGCTGCTCAGTACTGATGGCCATGGCTGGGGATGTTACCCCCCCACCCCCAAAGATAAAAAAGATGACCTTTGGGTTCTTCCTTCTGAGTGCAGCTCTGCTTCTTTAACATTCTGTCACCCTGCCCCTAAGCCTCTGAGCACAGTGGGACAGTGACCTGTGTGTGTGCCTAGGGGAGACATGAAGCCCCACTGAGTACAGGCTGTGTGCCTGTATCTCAGTGTAGTAGATTTGATGACCTCTTGTCCAGATGGGGAGATGAAGGTCACAGCACAAACTGCAGATCCAGGCTTAGAACCAAACCTTCCTGGCTCTCATCTATTTATAAATCTCTAGAAACAGGAATGGGGCAAGGCAGCTCTTAGCTGCATCTCTGGTTCATGTTTTGGGTGATCCTGCCTCTGAAGTAGAAGTAGGAGTGTGCCAGGCAGCGGGAGGAGGGCATAGCCTGGGCTAGCTATGACAAGTGGGCTTGAACTGTTCCTGCTGCCTTCTCCACTTCCTGGCTGCTCTTGGTCCACAGGAGAGTAACAACATGGTGGTGCCCGCCATGCAGCTGGCCAGCAAGATCCCAGACATGTCTGTTCAGTTGTGGTCGTCAGCCCTGCTAAGAGGTGAGTATGACAACTGGCCCTTCCCAGAGATCAGAGAGGCTGAGTAATCCCTGCTCAGTCTTTGCTCAGACTGCCCTCTACATGCCACAGCCCCAGTTCTAGCACATTCTCAGGTTCTCAGGAGGCCATTTGAGGGCAGTGGTCACTGGGCTCAATCATGTCATCAGCTCAATGCAGAACCTGTGAGGCTGATTCTTGGCATCTGGGTGAAGACTTGGACTGTGAGTCCTTGTGTTTGTTCTTGTCCCATTGGCAGGACTGGCTGGGATGCTCTGGGTGCAGGGCGGGGGCTCAGCAGGTGGCTGCTCCCCTATTTATAGAGACTTGCCCTAGGCCCTGAGGCAGTGGATTTTGTGGACTTGTTCAATTCTCCTGCCTCAGAAGTGGGTGTTGGGGGCCCTGCTCTAGCTAGCTCCTGTGTGCACAGGGACCTTCATTGCCCAACCTGCCTCTACATCTGCCCCTATGGGCCCCGCTGATCACCGATGTTAAGGACATGGCTCAGAAACTCAAGAGGGCATTGCAAGGGCTGCCCGCAGGTGGATTTAGCTGATCCCAAGACAAGACTCAAGGCCAGTGATTTGCCAGGTGCACAGGAACCCAGTGGTGGAGCCTGGATGGTGGAGCCTGGGTGGTGGTGTTTTTTTTGCCTCCCGCACATGCTCCAACCAGTGCCAGGGGATGAATATGCAACCCAGGTACTTTCACTTGACCAGGAATCAAACCTGTGACCCTTTAGTGCACATGTGTCAAACACAAGGCCCGCGGGCCAAATCCGTCCCGCCAGGCCTTGCAATGTGGCCCGCACCGCGCTGTCATCACTGCACTCCACTGCGTTTCCATCACAATGACAGTTTATGACTGTTCGGTAAACCATTCGGCCCGCGATTTAGGCTGGATTTTAGATTTTGGCCCCTTCTCTGATTGAGTTCGACACCCCTACTTTAGTGTATGGACCGGCGCTCTAACCACTTAGCGCTACCGGCCAGGGCTGGAACCTGGGTTTGACCTTAGGACTCCACTTATACCCAAGGGGAGGGCCATGGGGTGGTGGCAAAAGAAGGCAGGCTCACCCGTGTGTGTCTTACCCTAGACCTGAACAAGGCCTGCGGGAATGCCATAGATGCCCATGAAGCCGCCCAGATGCACCAGAACTTCTCTCAGCAGCTGCTCCAGGACCACATCGAGGCCTGCAGCCTCCCCGAGCATAACCTTATCACGGTATAGGCACGAGGTGGGGGAAGACAGAATGGGGGTGGTGGTTGGCTCCTTGGGGCTGGCTTACCTTGCCTACAGCCCTTCAGGGTGTGGGGCACACTCCCTGAAGAGGAAGTGTATGCTTGGCTGCCATCTCCCTGCATCTCTCCAGCAATTTCTAACTGAGCCTAGTCTCAGGAGGCCCTTGGATGTGGGAAATGACACTAGTCACCCAAGCAGGTAATTCAGAAGGACTTCACTTGGTGTTCTCTTTTCCTGCAGTGGACAGATGGCCCGCCGCCCGTGCAGTTCCAAGCTCAGAATGGACCTAACACCAGCCTGGCCAGCCTCCTTTGAGACCCCTGGAGGGGACCACCAGCTTCTCAAGGCCTCCGTGGGGCCTATTGTGTCCCTGACTTCCACCCAGAGAGCACTCGCGCTTCCCTCTGAGGCGTGCTGGCATGGTGTCCCCAGGCTTCTTTCCCAGAGCTTCCAAGTCCCCGGGGAGTGTGCAGGGCCAATTCCCACCCTCCCAGGAAGGGCTGGCCAGCTTTACCGCTGTGAATCAGGACCCCGGTGCTGAGGCTTGCAGGTGGAATGTTGGAGCCAATTTTCCAGAGCCATCCTTTAAAGTGGACTTGAACTGCCAGTCCTACTACAAGTCACGCTTTCCTGGGACTTTCTGGATGGGAGTGCCAGGATGGGCAGCACCACTGGGGCATTGCCACGTGACTTCCATTGCCTGAACTTTTGTGCCAGGCTGGAGTGTTTCCTCTGCTCTCACAGCAGCTTCCAGAGCTTAGAGGCAAGATGCCAATTTCTGGCCAAAAATTGGAAGGAAGAAGTGAGGATGCACATCAGGGACAAAAATGCATGTCCTGCTACAACACTTTTCCCAGCTTGCCTTTCGTTCCAGTGTCCATCCTGACAGCTAGTGCCTCTGGTCAGGGCACCCATGAACTTGCCTTCCAAACATCTGTATCTTGACTGGATCACTGGCCATGGGGGTGCACATGCTGTAAGCATGGATGTGCATGTGTGTGCATACTGTAGACAAGTATGTGTGTGCATGTGCAGTAGATACAGGTGTGTGTGTGTGTGCGTGCGCACATGTGTGCACGTGCATGTGTTGATTCTCAGAGCTGGAGCTGAGACTCCTGTGTTTGCACCAGCTGCCTTCCCCCATCAGTGTCTGTATTGTGGTGTAGGAAGCAGGGGAAAGGGGAGAGGACCCTCCTCAGTCCAACTCAGGGTGCTGAATGAAGGCAGCTCTGTGGCCGCCTCTGCAGAGGATATTTGCAGATGTCTGGAGCTCAGCCAACCTGGCCCTTGGGAGGGAGGAGGACTACCTACCGTGGGTCTCGGGACAACGTTGAAACGTCTTCCCAAGCTAGACCCCCTCCAGGAAGTTCTACCTGGCCCAGACAGTGTGCTCCTCTTGGGTACTCTAAGAGGTGCCTCAGTGGTGATGGTGGGATTGGGAGCAGTCAAGGCAGCCGCCCCCTCCAACTTCTGGCACCTGGGAGCAGTTCCCCACTGAGGGGTGGTGAGTGGTATTGCTGGCCAGGGTGGCTTGTTGGTTTGTGTCTCATTACCCTTGCACTGTGAAGGCTGCTTCTCGAAGCTTCTGTCTGTGATGGAAGGAACGTTAGGATATGGGATTACTCAGGTAGCTACTTGGGCCCTGAGCCTGAGTGTGCCTTAGCCACAAGCAGGACTGTCAGCAGATCACCCTGCACTGGGCCACTGCCCTCACCAGGCCTGTGACAGGGCCCTGCTGCCCACTTGGGGGCCAGTGACAGGCATGCAGGTGAGTCACCAGCTAGAGGGGCAGGCTTTCCAGGGCTTGTCCCAAGAGGACCTACCATCCCTGTGTTGCCCAGGAGAACCTGGGTGTTCAGGGTTGCTCCCTCTGCTGACACCCCTGAGCGCGTGAGGCCTGTGGAGGAGGGTGTAAGCCCAGTCATAAGCTGTCCCCATTCTGTCTTCCTCCTCTACCAGGGGCCTTCCCCTCCACTCTAGGGATGGAGCCCCCATCTCGCCATAAGCTGCGCCTACCAGCCTGGATCCCACACTGTCTAACTTCTCCGTATCCACATTAGTTCAATTGTTGCACATGTTTGTCTCTGTGTATTTATTTAAGCCTTTCTTTGCTTCTAGGGCATTTTGTATGTAGAACAATTTAAATAAGAACCTCAAAACTTAATGTATGTCCTGATGTTAAAGTGCTTTTAGTGACCACTCTGTTATCTATATGTGTGTAAAGTTAAGGATAAGTTCTTAAGTTTACAATGAAAAATTCAGTACTCAACATTTAATATTCCACTTAGCTTTATGGGAACCAAACTGTGTGTATGGTTTTGAACCTCCCTCTAATGCAGCATCTACCAATTACATCAAGCTGTCATACATACCTTTCTGTGAGTCCACATTGAATGTCTCACAGTTTCTCAATCAAAATTTAAGACAGGTAGCAAGTGAGCCACCAGAGAGATGTTGCATAAGTGTCATATAGCTAAATGTTTTTTGGAAAAAAACATAAAAATTCCAAACTCTTCAACTTACAGGGCACACAGTAATAGAAAAAGGATTTTGTTGGCAGGTCAATTGCTGAAAATTGGTCAGACCCTCATGTGCTCGCCTCACCACCTCCTGTTAATAGAAGTGCCCTGGGCCTGCTGGGCCTGGAGGTGCCCCAGGTTCCCTCGAAAACAGCTGCCTCCAGCAGGTGGCCACAGGCATGGTGAGGGTCCTCTCCCTGGGGAAAATACTCCTTATCCCACTGACAGAGCACAATTGGGTAAGGGCTGCCTGGCACAGTGGATATGCTTGTGGTTGCATTGTTTGTTTTGTTAAAGGGTTTTTAACAAGTATGTTTGGCATAATACCTTTTTAACGGGTTTGTAATACGGTTTTAGCAGCCTGTAACTTCACTGGTGCTTTTAATCAGGAAAACAAATTTATAAATGCAAAACATTGTTTAAAAGACAGAACTATACAATATAGCTTCTTGTTTGTGGATTTCTTTTTCTTTGTATTCAAAGTAAAATCACTTGCAGTAGCTATCATTCACTGTGTCCTTGTCCTGCCTTTTGCCCTTCTGCGCCACCCGACAAGCTTTTGCTTTGCCCTACCCTGCCAGCAGGGCTCTAGGGACTTCTGTTAACCGACCAGGTACAAGGATGCAGCGCCTATACTGGACTGGAGGACCTGGTGGAAACCTGTATCTTCCCCTCTGCTAATGATGTCCCACTGGTCCAGCCCTGCCTTGAAGGGAGGGAAACCCTGAGATCCCAGGCAAGGCCTCCTGAAGCACTCTTTTTACAAATTTATTTTATTTATTTATTTTTACAGAGAGGAAGGGAGAGGGATAGAGTTAGAAACATCGATGAGAGAAACATTGATCAGTTGCCTCCTGTACACCCCCTACTGGGGATGTGCCTGCAACCAAGGTACGTGCCCTTGACCCGAATTGAACCCGGGAGCCTTCATTCCGCAGGCCGACGCTCTATCCACTGAGCCAAACTGGTCAGGGTGCACTGTCTTTTCTTACTTGGCCCTCAACACAGACTTCCTCACACACTTTGACCAGCCTCCATTTTCCTGGGGCATTCTTTCCAGGCTTTTTTATGTAAAAGACACAAAATTAGCCATTTAATGTTCACAATTCAGTGGTATTAAATATTCACAATGTTGTACAACCAGTACCTCTTTCAGATCTAGAACTTTTCCATCACCTGAGGAGGTGTGGAGAGACCCTTGATCCCATTAGCAGTCACTCCCATTTCCTCCCACCTCTGATAACCACTAATCTGCTTTCTGTTTATGGATTTGCCTGTTCTGGGCATTTCATATAAATGGGATCATATAACATTTGGCCTTTTGTAGTTGGTTTCCCTCATTTAACATATTTTCTAGGTTTATCCATGTTGCAGCGAATCAGCACTTCATTCCTTTTTATGACTGAGTAATAGTCCTTGTGTGGGTGGACATTTTGTTCATCTTCCACCCATCAATGGGTGTTTGGCTGCTTCCCTCTTGTGGCAAATGTGAGTAGTGCTGCTGTGGGTACGCTGTACATTTTTGTTTAAATGTGTTTTCGATTCTTTAGGTTGTGCAATGTTTGATTTTTCCAATCCTCACCAAAGGATATATTTTGTCTATTGATTTGAGAGGAAGAAAAAGAGAGGAAAAAAACATTGATGTGAGAAAGAAACATTGATTGACGGGATCAAACCCACAACCTAGATATATGTCCTGACTGGGAATTGAACCTGCAACCTTTTGGTGCATGGAAGGATTCTCCAAGCAACTGAGCCATCCAGCCAGGGCTGTGCCATAGTTTTAACTTGCAGGGATGGTGCTGAGTTGCACCTCTGCTGCATCAAATCCTTCCAGTCATTCCTACACTCTGAGATGATACCCAGGTGGCCTCAACTGCTTCTTCTGGGGGCATATCTGAGGACTTCTTTGGGCCATGGTCCTGGGGCCAAACTGCTGACCAGTGGATGTGTGGAAGATTCACCCCAGCACAGTAACCCTGCCATCCCCACCATTCATATCTGGCTGCCTCTGCCCCGACCCTGCCAACCTGGCTCAGGGAGCTTATTCACTTGGGGTAGCCTCTGCCTGTCGGCTGGATATCATTTCCTACCTGTAAGCCTCACAACCCCTATGCAGGAAGTGTGTCCTGAGCTCGGTTGACCAGAACATTGCCATAGACCATAGTGGAACCGGCAGGCTGGACCTGAGATGGCTGCTGTCACAAGAAGTGACCCTTGCCGAAACCGGTTTGGCTCAGTGGTAGAGCATCGGTCTGCAGACTGAAGGGTCCCAGGTTCGATTCCCGTCAAGGGCATGTACATTGGTTGCAGGCACATCCCCAGTAGGGGGTGTGCAGGAGGCAGCTGGTCGATGTTTCTCTCTCATTGACGTTTCTATCTCTCTATCCCTTTCTCCCTCCTCTCTGTAAAAAAAATCAATAAAATATATATATTTTAAAAGTTATTAAAAAAAAAAAAAAAGTGACCCTTAACACAAGATGTCATCTTGGCCTGGCCACCCAGGGACCTGGGAACCTCACCGACACATGAAGTGAGTGACTTCCCCATAGAGAGCCTCCAAAGTCATCTCACTCCCATTATCCATGCAGTTTCAGGAACCCAGCACCTGAGAAGATGTTTTGGTAGAAAGATTCCTAATGGCCACCTCATGTCTCCAAGCAGACCTCACAGACCTGTTGCCAGCCAGGTCTGCTGACAGAAGCATGACTAAGTCTGGGCCCCCATTGCTCATACACACGGGGAACGTATGTGAGGAACATCAGACTGACATTCGGGAAGGTCCTGAGGCAGAAGTTGCAAGAGGATGGTGAGAGGGAGCCAGACAGGACAGGCCCACATGCCAAGAAACCTGCCTATTGTGGCCAAGCAGTTGGGCTCAGGTGGGGGCAGCAGGACAGTGCCCTGGAATGCTGCTGAGGAGGTGGAACCTCTTCCAATGAACCAGTAGTTGCCGAGAAGTTTCCACAAAATACCAGTTGTTGGTGGACAGGGAATAACTGCTGTGGTCGTAGCGTTTTGGGAAACTAGTAATTCCAAACAGGTTCTTTCTGGCAGGACTGGTCAGCACATAGGGACACTGTTCAGAGAAGTCCTCGGTATCTGCGGACACACTTGGGATGACAGGAGGTGGCCATGGGACTGGGAGGAGGACAGGAGTAGGCCTCACAGAGACCAGCAGGTAGCCAGAGCAGCTTGCTGAGCATCAAGTGGCTAGGACGGGGATCATTATTCATCTTTGACACACATATTATACAAACCCCAATCCTTAGAAATCTGCTGGTTACCCTGCCCATTTGTGGCCATCTCTGACACCCCTCCCTTAGCCCCAGTCATATCTCCTACCTGGATGTCATCCAGCCTATTTCCTGAACAGTCTGAGAATATTCTGTGCTCCCTCAGAATATTCCTGTTCCCTGTCAGGGTACTCGCCCTGTAACTGCTCGAAATCACCTGGAATGCCATGGCACATGGTGGGTGGGTCCATGGGAAAACCCAGGAAAGCGCACATGCCGCAACCTCAGACAAGTTCAGCAGATGCCACATGGACAACTGTGTCAGCACACCCAACCACTGTAGCCAGGCTCCCTCCAGAAATATGAACAGGCCCCTGCTGTTTTGCAAGGGAGCCTGGATCTCACTCACACCCTGAACCGATATGCTTCAGGGGATCTGAAAATGTCCATAAAAAATTTAAAAAATAAAGAAAATGTTCCCGATATGCATTGGCTTCATCCCTTGGCCTCTTTTATTTTATTTTATTTTATTTTTTTAAGAGGCAGCTAAGCTATTTATTTAGTCAGTATATTTAGTCAGTAGAAAAACTGTACAGAATGGAGGTGCAGGAGGGAGACAGGTTTGATCCCCGTGGTGGACAACTCAGTCCAGTCCAGTCCCAGGAGTGTGGTCTGAGCACGTGAGCTACCTGGATACCCTAGAGCATCGACGTGGGGGGCACCGGGTTCCGGGGCCAGCATTTGGGCCAGAGGCTGAGGAGCAGGGCCCTAGAAGCGGTCCAGCACGGTGGCTAGCAGAGCCATGCAGATGTACATGCTGTTCTCGGCCTGGCAGAAGTAGGCTTCTCGGGGGTCCGAGTCCACCTCCTCGCTGACCCTTGGCCTCTTTGAGCTTTGGGTTTATATATCCCACAAAGAAAGCTATTCAGGGAAAGAAAGGCAGTCCTGCCTCTGTGGTCCAGTCTGTTTAACATCTGACATCACTTCCTTGATTTGAACCTCACCAGTCTCTTCTCCCAACACAGCCCCAGTTAGCTCAGAGTTTGGACTGGTCACGGGAGGAGAGGTGCTGCTGGAGTGAGAGGGTAGGACGCTCACCCCACCTGGGACAAGGGAGCTGGACCCTGACGGTTATGGGAGCTCTACTATGCATCCCCATCCACCACCTGCTAGGAGGGGGCTGCTAGAGTCCCTAGGGAGGCAGAGAGGAGAAAGAGGAGGATTGCTGACAAATTTAAATGTTTATTTCACCCAAATTCATGCTCACATGGTGAGATTATAATACAACTGGTTTGGCAAGGAAAGGAAATTATTTGTTTCTATTTGATTTCCTCAGTACTTTGATATTTTTAACACTTTTTTCAAGGACCAGAAAATAGTTAAAGGGGCTGTTACAATGATGCTTCAAGAAAAATACTATGCCGAAACCGGTTTGGCTCTGTGGATAGAGCGTCGGCCTACGGACTGAAAGGTCCCGGGTTCGATTCCCGTCAAGGGCATGTACCTTGGTTGCGGGCACATCTCCAGTAGGGGGTGTGCAAGAGGCAGCTGATCGATGACTCTCTCTCATCGACGTTTCTAGCTCTCTATCTCTCTCCCTTCCTCTCTGTACAAAAACAATAAAATATATTAATATATATATATATTTTTAAATACTATGGCTGCTACAACAAATGTCATTTTAAAAAACATGACCTTTTTAATTTGTGGGAAACAGAACAGTGCCCCTTTGTCCTGTATGCTGAACTCTCCACAACCCAGCACTCTGGGGTTGTGCCACTTTGTCAGTGGTGTGTTCGTTCGCTTTGTTCTACGTGTCATTCCTAACCCCTATCCCTACACTTAGTGTCTGTGCAATGTGGAGTTCAGACTTCACCTGCAGTTAGGTGTGCTCTGTCCAGAGCGAGTGTCTGTGTGGCCCTGAAGAGGTCCCGATACTACACAGTTCTGAGCACAAATGTTCCCTAAAGGGTTAAGTACAAAACTGCTCACAAGTGTCATGGTGAACCGGAAGTGTATCTCCGGGCGGCACTGTCTTCATCTGCTTGTTTCAACAGTGCCATCAGAGACCTGGCCTGCTCTAGCCTTGGCCACCAGGGGGTGCAGGCAGTCCATGCAGTGTCCGCACCAGGGAGGGAGGGCAGGACATGGTCAGACCTCATGTGACCAGATTGTCCTTATCTGCAGGGATGTGGGATGATCAGCACTTCAGGGCCTCTCCGTCCCTCACCTGTAACTTTTGGGGTAGGAGATGCAGGTCCTGAGGGTTCT